TTAGTTCTTCCCGCTGTGAACATGATAAATGTTGTTGCCTGTCAGGGACTGAACAGTAAGCCAGAGGACACAGCTTTTAAAGTTCAAAAAAAATTTGTTTTTTTGTTTTTTTTTATTGACCCAAAAATAAGGAGAAAGAAAAAAAAAAAAAAAACAAGCAAATAATATCAATATCTACCAATACCTAAAAGAGGTCAACAAAAGATAAGGAAACTCAAAATACAGCAAACTGAACTACACAATACAGCAAACTGAACTACACAATACAGCAAACTGAACTACACAATATGAACTACACAATACACAGCAAACTGAACTACACAATACAGCAAACTGAACTACACAATACAGCAAACAAAAACCAACTAACAACATGGCATAAATGGGGGAGCATATATACTGGCTGGCCAAACCAGTAACACACACACAGGGAATTGACAAAGATGCAATCTAAATAATCTGCCAATAAACACTGAACAGACAGTCTGCTAACAACTAAATATTTTTCTTTAAATGTAAAAAAAAACAACAACAACAAAACTTGACAAATAAAGTTTTATCATCAACTACAAACAAATAAACAATATATTTCTCCCAACCTCCCCCCTTCCTTGTATTGGGCACTTGGTGCAGTCCAGGCCTAGTGGGAGGTATTTAAACCTGCTGCTTCCTCAGTCCAATCTTTTTGTCGGGACCACCCCTATCCATTAACCAGGAAATGGTAACTCAAAAAAGAAGATTGCGCACATTAACAGTACAAAGTTAACCAAATGTGCATGCTTCAGTGATTAATTGTGTATGTCTAAACCTAATGTCAAATCAAATGCCTAACATCTACCTATAACTTAAATCTACACACAAACAAAGAAAACAAAAGAACATTACCTAGCTAATTCCTCTGCTGGTGCTGGTTTAGGCCCTCACATGGTGAAGGCCACAGCTGAGGCCTTCACATTGCCCATTACTGTTGTGCTGATTAAATTATGGAACTTATCATGTTATAGTTTTTTTTATGTATAAATCATTTGAGAAATGTTACATCTTGTCTAAAAGTATAGATTTTACTATAAACATGGTATACAGATATTTACCTTGACATCTTTGTATCAAAGATGTAGAGTGAAGTCAACATTTCTACAGTTAAACACTAAATAGTTTGCTTCTTTCAACATTTCCCCAAGTATATTGAGATAAAATATTTAGACTTTCGAGGGGTTTTTCCTGCTTCATGCTGAAACATAAAAATACTTCTTACATGTTGGTACTCCAGTAATATAGCTATAAGGTATAAACAAGTTTAAATGCACTTTAAATAGTTTGCCTTCCAAGAAGTGTTTGATTGGTCCCCCATACAGTGTTAGGCATTTTCTGTTTCTCACACTTTATATGACGTTAACTGATGCAGAAAAACTATTCAGCACAGTGTTTTTACAAAGCATCCTCACTTTATTTTGGGGGCCTAAAACTTTCACACTGCAGAAGGTTTGGATGGAAGGAAGAGTACCAGCAGACTGGAAAAAAGGGCACATGGTAAAACTCCCCAATAAAGGAGACCTAGGATCCTGCAAGAACTGGCGCGGCATCATGCTACTGTCAGTACCGAGAAAAGTACTAACCTGCATTATCCTTGACCGGCTGAAAGACGCAGTGGAAAAAAAACTTAGACCAGAACAAGCCGGCTTCAGGAAAGACAAGTCATGTACAGATCAGATAGCAACACTCCGAATCATCATCGAACACTCCTTGGAGTGGCAGTCAACGCTGTACCTTAACTTCATCGACTTTCGTCAAGCGTTCGATAGTGTGGACAGGGAAACTATCTGGCAGCTCCTCCATCACTATGGAATCCCTCAAAGTTTCATCACCCTGATCCAGCAACTTTATGAAGGCGCCACATGCCAAATTATCCATAATGGCAAATTGACAGAGGAGTTTGAGTTGAGAACAGGAGTCCGACAAGAATGCATGCTCTCCCCAATGAACTTCCTGTTAGTGGTCGACTGGGTGATGCATCAGACAATTAAAACAGGAAAAAACGGAATCCAGTGGTCCCTGACTCAATTCCTTGAAGACCTGGACTTTGCAGACGACTTGTGCCTGATGTCCCAGAAATGCCAACATATGCAACAGAAAACTGATAGCCTAGCCCAGCCCAAGAACCATCCAAGACTGGACTGCGGATCAACCTAGAGAAGACTAAAATCATGACCCTGTTAAAAAAAGCAGCAGAAGCCAATCACCCTTGGAGACAGCGAGCTGGAAGAAGTCACCTCTTTCACCTACCTGGGCAGCATTGTATCAGCATCAGGTAGTTCTGACGAGGACATCAAAGCCAGAATCGGGAAAGCTAGATACGCCTTTATTACCCTGAGACCAGTCTGGAGGTCAACATCCCTATCTGTCCGCAACAAAATACGAATTTTCAACAGCAACGTTAAGTCTGTCCTTCTCTATGGCTCAGAGACCTGGAGAGTCACCAACACCCCAACCAACAAACTCCAAATATTTGTCAATGGCTGCCTTCGCAACATACTGAAGATCAGGTGGACAGATAAACTAAAGAATACTTAATTGTGGCAGCGGACAAACCAAGATCCCATCAATCAGCAGATTGCCAGGCGTAAATGGCGATGGATAGGACACACCCTGCGGAAACCCTCACAGGACATCACCTGGCAGGACTTTCCATGGAACCCCCAGGGAAAGACACGGGCCGGTCACCCTAAGACCACCTGCATAATATAGGACATCACCCGGCAGGCCTTGCAATGCGACCCTCGGGGAAAGAGATGGGTCGGTCGCCCTAAGACCACGTGGAGACGGTCCTGTGAAGAGGAAATGAAGAAGTGCAACCTGTCGTGGGGTGAAGTGAAAAAGGCTGCCCAGAATAGACTGCGTTGGAAAGCTGTTGTTGAGGCCCTTTGTTCCACGGGGAACTCAAGGAGATAAGAAGTAAGAAGAAAACTTTCACACAGTAATGTAAATAAATCAGCCAAGAATATGAAGGAGCTGACTATCATGTACCACTTCATCTCCTCCGGCCCACTGGTTCACATTCTCCCTGCATCAAAACATGGGTATCCTTTGCTACTAGGACTGAAGATGACATCATATTAGTTGAGTGCATGTGCCAGCAGTATCAGAATGATTGACTGCAAGTGCTGTTTTCCTTACATCTCTGAGCTACATCCCTCTGACCCAACCAAGCAACACCTGGAAGTAGGTAATGAAGAATGACATTAATTTGATTCCTCAAAGATGGCAGAGATTGGGTTGTGCATGTCAGGGCTTGCAAATCATGCTGCCTTCTTGTACTCAGTATGCATACTTCATCCTATGGAAGTGTAGGACCAGTGTTGTATCAAGTGATGTATGCTAAAATAAAATAAAAAAAGTGATGTATGCTAAGTGGTAACTGGCTGCCCTTCTCCCTGAAACCCAGATGTTTTCCATCCCACGCTTATCTACCACAGTCAAGGCCATTATTAGATTGTGAATGCTTTGTGTACTTCTTTTTATGCCTTTGACAGTTTTTGTGTGTTTTATTATCTGTTAGCCAGTTCATCTTTTTGACAGCGATTTCCTCCCTCTGTGACTGGTATAGGCAGATACATTTTATAACTTCAGTTTGACAAGAAAAGCAATCTTCATGTAACCAAGTTGCTACTTTTGATGTGGAGCCAACTCATCCAAATATTTGACATTTTAATATATGTCATATTTAAAAAAAAATACAGTAGTATATATTTTTGTAATGATGAAGACATCCCTCTTAGGGGTTACATAAGCTTCTGGATTTGCTCAGTTCTTTGCAACACTTGTATATGTTTTTCTGCGGGCTTCCTGCTCTTACTGTGATCTCTTCTCACAGTCTAAAGATAAATGAATAAACTTTGACCAGTACAAACTCCCCTTTGACCCAGAATAGTAGAAAGCAGATAATAAATCATGGATGAAAGAATGAGTAAAAAAAACATCTCATGGTAAACTGCATGAGAGTTAAACATGAGGTGAATTTATGACACTGAAACATTTCCATGTATATTTGCAAGCAGTAAGCTTGACTGAAAGATCAGTAACACCTAGAGATGTGCACACTTTATAATTTTCACTTAATTCACACTAGTGTAACTGAATTATCTCTGATTATTGCTTGTATCCACATAACACTTGAAACTAGTGAAACAGCTTATTAGTTTGGTTGTTTTGTAATGCTTTGATAAACAGTTATGAATTATTCATATCATTTTGACTTTGTAAGTCGATTTTACTATCTAAGATTTATTTATAACACAGAGCCAGGGAGCCATTCCCAGCTGACACTGGTCGAGAGGCAGGGTACGCCCTGGACAGGTCGTCAGGCCGCTGACACATAGAGACAGATAACCATTCACACTTAGAATCACCAGGCACTCCAAAGTACCTGGAGGAACCGCACACAGGCACAACGTGAACATGCAAACAGAAAGGCTACGGCTAAAATTCAAACCCAGAACCTTCCTGTTTTGCAGTGACAGTGCTAACCACTGCCCCACTGTGCTACCACACCAATTCACTTTATTTTAAGAATTTTACACATTGTAAAACTGATTACTTGTTAATGGGCTAGCATTCCCTTCATCTAGATTAGATGCCCTTTTCAACACTTGACATCAGCTCATTTTGATGTCAAGGAAACTATGTTTGCCAGGGTCTAATCAAATATTTTTGTTCCAAATACAAAATGTCCTCTGCCTCACTCAAAGCTGCCCCTATATGTGACAGTTTAAACTGTTCAGGTTTGACACCAGTTTAATAACAAAAGGTCATCTCACACAATTCCCTCATATGAAACATTAATCATTAAAAGCGCAGGCTGACTAGAGCTACAGAAGTCTATTTTTGCAGAAGCACTCTTGCACCTAAATTACAATTCACCTCTAGCTACTTGAGCACTTATAAATCTTAAGATCATGCCTATTGTCTCCTACACAAACTACAACACAGAAATGAGACAAATGCACATTATAGGATATTTTATTCTGACTGAGTTGAGCAGAAACTGAGATGAGTTCAGACTTTCCTCTTGTCTCCATGGAGATCGTCCTTCTCAACCCATGATCTGGCAAAGCAAGTACAAATGAATCATTATGATTATCCTCACCAATCTGAACAAACCACTGAACTAATAGATGTATTTGTAAGGATGAATGCACAAAACTGATGATGAACTCCAGCAGCTAGCACATGTAGTTTGAACACTTAGTACTCTGATTCATGTGGGTTAGTGTTAAATACTGACGCTGTTCATCCAGCTGATGTAGGCAGAGACGCGGGTGAAGACGGTGGGTTTCATGTAGGTGTTGCAGCCATACGCGGACACAAAGCTGGTCACACCGTGGACAACCCACTGGCCATTGACATTGCAGTTCAAGGGGCCACCGGAATCACCCTACATTCGGAAAAAACACATCCCAGACAAGCCTCAGAGCCAGGGTTCAATACACTTAGCTTGCTTTTTCTATCCCCTTTTAATCTCAGACAACCTTCGGCAAGTTTGTGTAAAATATGTGTTTGCAAGATTTTGACACTTTGTGCAGATTGAGCACTTGCCTGGATCACTGTAACTGACTTACGCCCCTGCTGATGCAGCAAGCAATCCCGCATGTGGCCTCCAAAATATCTTCCTTGACAGGACGGGGTCAGGCCTCAGCTCAGTGGGAGACATTCAGTTTCACTTTGTCATGGCGGAGTGGGGCTGAATTTTGACAAGTTCTTTCTTATGTTTCAGCCAGTATGCTTATACCCAAATATCATTACTGCGGTTTTAATCACAGAAGGACCCCATGGGAGACAGGTAAAAACAGTGTGGTTCATTAGAAAGTGCTAACAGCTGTCAAGCTCCAGTGATACTGTCTCCATATTCTGGCTTACCAGGATCATTTAAAGGGGAGATCCAAATCAGGTAAATCTGATAAAAGTGATGTGTCAGTGCAGGTTGGACCGAAAACTACAGGTATGAAAAATTAAAATATCCAGGCGTGTGACCTTAAAACTAAGAGGTTACCAGGCCTCTGTAGCCAGATCATTATAACTGCTTGGAGCTTGAGGCTGTGTTATCTGCTACTAGCATAACCAATCAAACTGCTGACAGTAGAGATGCCTAGTAGGTAATGTAAGCATCAAATTTTGGCAAGATAGAACAATAGGTGCAATAAAAAAAAATATATTTTTGCCCTTTGTTAGTGTGACAATGTTTGAAGTGCAATGAAGTACTCTTACTGTGTATTGTAAGACTTACTAAAGAAATACAATATGTGAAGGCCTCTGTATCATTGACTCACCTGGCAACCAGCCTCATTGCTGCCACCAGCACAGACCATGGAGTTCTTCACAGTGCTGCCCCACCATCCAGAGCTGGAGCAGGTGTTGTAGTCCACAACAGGCAGGTAGGCCTGCTTCAGCTGAGCAGACAGCTGACCTCCAGCTGGGGGCAGCAGAAAAGAATACATTTTACAGCTGAGGCAGCAAAACAATACACTGCTGCAATTGTGTTTACAGATAGTGTATTTACTTCAGTGCATTTAAGCACTGAAGAGAATACTAGCTTTTAATGTGTAAAAGTAGCATGTTAGACTCACTCTGGGTGCGTCCCCATCCACTGATGTAGCAGACGTGGTTGTGGGGCAGGATCTGACCGGAGGGAGGCAGAGAGCCTAGCTGGACGTAATTGTTGAGAGTAGCATCAGAGGCCAGACGCAGGAGAGCAATGTCATAGCTGAGGGTCAGAACAACATGACCTTGAGTTAATGAGTAAACCTGTACTCGTGAATGTGCATTGTAGTACCCTTGTTGAAAAGCAGGCCATTGTTTGTCTTCCGATGGGAATGGTTAGGCCTGCAAATGACTACTACCTGATCATTAATTTTACTTTCATTGAATATTTTTTTTAAATACATCTTCTGTCAATTGATTGTTTCAGCTCTAATTGTGTTCCACTGTATGACTGGGTGTTTTTTTTTTCACAATCTATGTTCAGAATAATAAGACTGGTAAAAAATGTTTTGTTTTCTTTTTCTTTTTTTTAGAATTTACAAATCTAATTAAAAATGTATTAGAAGTATTTAAGTAAAATGTTTCAAAATAAAAATATCCACACAATATCAAATGTTACCTTCCATTAATCACTTTTGGCATTTTTCATTACTCTACATTTGTTTTGTTGTTTTGTTAGTGATATGTTTCTTTGCTTGTTTTTATGAGATGTATTCTGAAATGTATGTGTGGCATGGGGAGCCAAAGACAAATTTCCACCTCGGTGGATAATAAAGTAAATTGAACTGAACTGAATGTCCAGTAATCACTAACCCTGCAGCCACGTTGTTGGAGTTCCAGTAGGGGTGGATGTAGACACTGTACACGCTCATGTACTGCTCTGTGCCCTCTTGGGCATTGATGTTGTGATCTCCAAGAACAACACGCCAAGTCATGGATCTGTGGGCATACAAAAAAATAACCATTTTCTTCTGCTCATATTTATTTTGTATGGCAGTTGATCTTTAGTAAGCCAAGAAAATGTGTTCAAAATCAATATTTTACAGAGAAGCTATATCGTTGACATGCCACAAGTCAAATTTAGATCTAAGATGTCTTACTATGCAATAAACCACTGGGAAATATAATGAAACACATTTATGTAAATGTTCAGCTCAGTCAGAACACATGGCTTGCTACTTCATAGATTTATTAGGCTCAGCATCTATTCTGTGATGCATGAAACTCCCACCTGTCTACACAGTGGGCAGCGGTCATGACCCATCCTCTCCTGATCAGGGTTCCTCCACAGGTATGGTAGAAGCTGGAGCCAGATTTGTACTGAAGTGAGATCTAATGGAATGACAGCAGAGAGCATTGCACCTACAAGAAACTGAACCATTCATATTTTTGCTAAATCTATCCTGGCAGCATTCCTGACATTGAACTGGGCTTAAAGGCATAAATCGGATGCAGATGCATGTTGTGATGGCCTGTTTTTACATTTTAAAGCTCTGAACAAATGTACAGCACTTACTGTAAGTACTGAAGCATTTCCAGTTTATGCTACTTTATATTTCTATTCTATATTAAAATATGATGTGTTATTATAGTGTTGTGGTTATGTGGTTGACTAAAAAGGCCATTCTGTACTTTGTGATACTTTTAGTACATTTTACTAGTGATCATTATAAACTTTCAATCAAAATTTCAAATAGCCTTTTAGTTGAAAAGGTGAAATTACAGTAATATTCACTTCCCATTTTTTCATACTTGTCTTTTTGTGGCCAGTTATGCCTGCCAGTACCCCTGGAGATTGGATGGGCTCAAAAAGAATACATTATCTTGCATCACTGGTGGGAGTGTTAGAGACCAGTCACATTAGATGACTGTAAAAAGAGTAATCATAGTAAACTGCACACTGTGGTGGGTTCCAATGTACAGTGAGTCACAAAGACACTAAATCGGCAAAGCTGTGGAAAAGCCTCAGTGCACCGGCATGAAAATAGAACCCAGAGCGTTTTCACATTGTAGAACTTTTATTATACATCTTCCACTACTATTTTAGAGTCAGACAAGTTGTACTGTACCTGCCAAGGCCAGGAGTTGGGTCTGACCACCTCACCTCCCACAACTCTCTCCTCAGCCCTGGCGTCCTCCAGGTACCTGGGCTGGGGCTCCAGCTCAGCCAGCACTGAGCGAAGCATATGCACAGAAAACATAACAATCAGCCATTGAGTTTCAGAATGTGTGGAGTCATTAGTGTGCAAATCGTCAAAGGAAATAAAGAATCCCACAGTTCTTACCGAGGGCTGCAAGAGAGGTTAAAACAAGAAACCTGAGCATGGCTGTAGTCTCCTCAAACGTCTTCACTGGAGACTCCTGTCCGATACTATTTTATACCTTCTGGGCCCCTTCTGCTGATTGGTTGTGTGTGTGTGTCCACCTGTGTCTGTCTCACAGTTATCACAAGTGTTGATTCATGTGTGGAACAGCTGACTCAGCTACCAAGTCCCTTTCTTCCACTTGTACTGGCTTTTCTGCTTGGTGTAAGATTGTCTTTAAGTTTCTTTCTTTTTACATTTTGTAGTAAAGCAATTTTTGACTGTATGTACGCAGGAAATGTAACTTATAATTAATGTAACTAAATGTCTTGCACCACCTCCACCTCATATTCCTCCCTCATCAAGCTGAATCAAGTCTTTTTTTTTTTTTTGTAATAAGAACCAGTATCACAAATCACAAATTTGCCTCAGGGGGTTTTACAAATCCGTGCAGCATACATCACCTTCTGTCCTTAGACTCTCCCGTCATTGTTCATAGTTTTAAGTACAACCTACCTCCTGGCAAAGGTACAAAAGGTCCCAAATCACACATCCACACATTCTGGCATTTCCTCTGAGCACAACCCTGCTGTTAAAACCCATCCTCAGATGTATTTTTCTCTGTGGTGTATGACTTTGTTCTTGTTCTGGCTGTCTGGAAAGCACACTGGAAGCGATCAATTGCTGGGATTGGTCCCAGAAAGGGCCATTTTATACACAGTGATGAAGTATTTCAGTACTCTGAGGAAGATTATCCTCAAAGTCCCTCCAGTAAGTGTGATTAAGCACTTTGGCTGCATAGACCATATGCTGCTGTAATAGTCTGAAAGTGTCTTTCACTACTATACAAGCTGATGGAGAAGAATTTGCCTTTTAACATGGGGGCTAGAAAGTTAAACCACCTTAGTAGCAGTTTGAAACAGCAGAAAGTTAGTTAAGGTGTTTCAGAATTACTTCCATGTGCAATGTGCAACATTTATTGATAAACATAAAATCCTCTCTGATTGTCAATATGGTTTTAGGTTGAACCGGTCGACATCTTTGGCCATTACCGACCTGATGGAGGACATTACAAGTGCTATGGATGAGAAGAAATACACGATAGGAATATTTATTGACCTAAAAAAGGCATTTGACACAATCAATCATGAATTATTAATGGACAAGTTAGAAAAATATGGGATCAGAGGAATGGCTCTGAAATGGATTAGAAGTTATTTGACACAGAGGCGTCAATTTGTGAAGTTGGGTGAATATCATTCGAGTGATCTGGACATTGTATGTGGAGTGCCTCAGGGTTCTGTTTTGGGACCTAAATTATTTATATTATACATTAATGATATATGCAAGGTTTCTGATTTAGTGAAAGTGGTTTTATTTGCTGATGACACTACCATATGGGCATCCGGGGAAAACCTACAGCAACTCTC